TTCATACGCTTCATTATCCCTTAGTAAATTATTCATCTTTTCAGAATATTCAGTTTTATCTAAAATGACAAACGAGTTGGATTTATCGGCCTTCGTGGACACAAGGTCTGATCGTTACTATGATCCTTGTATGCCTTGATAAATTGCAGAGGGCAGTTGGGAAGCCCTGCATACTGCTGCAGTTACATAAGTTAATGTGACTACAACTTACATAATATTGTGCATGTGAGTTTCTAATGATAGCCTAGAGAGGACGGGTAGAGTGACTTATCGCCTCTGGAGTCCCAGTGTTAAGAAACAGTGCTATTGTCATGGAGCAAGATAGGTAAATAGAATGCGGGTAGTAGGTAAATATTTAGAGATATGTGTAGAGTCTGTTTTCTGCTGGCTCTTCTGGAACATTCTCTGACGCTTGATTGTTAGTGTAGGTTGACATCTGATTATTCTGATTCGTATAATAATGCAATGATACACATAGCTTGAGTGTCTGGGTTATTAACCACTTAGGTGAAATATGTAAGTTCTCCATTACCTTGAAAACTTGGTAGATATGCCTTTTTTTATTAAGACTTTTAATATTAAAATTGTATTTAAAAGTCTTGTTCCAGAAAAAAAACTTTTGATAAAAAATCTGCCTAAAGTGCTGAGGGGTGTGTCTATAAGATTCCTTGTCAAATATCTGATAAAGTTTATTACGGTCAAACTGGTAAAAGTCTTGAACTAAGATTAAAACAACATAAATATAGCATTAGAACTGAACAAGATTCTAATGCTCTGTTTATTCATGTGAGACATTTTAACCATTCAATTGTTTTTCAAAAAGTTGAGAAAGTTGTATCAAGCAAGTCCATAGTCGACAGGAATATAATTGAATCTTGTTTCATAAAAAGCAGTTTTGAAAATAATATGAATGTTTCTTTTGGTTTATATTAATTGGATTCATTATTAATTAATAAAATTTGGGAAGAATTTAATGATACATTAGACAAGTTCAAAATCTTAATGCTTGGGTAGAGTATCAGGTGTCTTTTACAGAGTCGGTTGTTGTGACGTGACTGTGAGGTGTAATCTTGACCTTATATGCCTTCCTGTTTATGTTTTATTTTTATAGTTCCTTGATCATGTGAGAAGTCACGAAAGTGCTTGGACTTTCATTATTTTTCACAGTTGTTGTTCTGCATACACACACACACACATATACATACATACATACATACATATATATATATATATATATATATATATATATATATATATATATATATATATATATATATATATATATATATATATATATATATATATATATATATATATATATATTTCAACAAGTCGGCCGTCTCCCACCGAGGCAGGGTAACCCAAAAAAAAAGAAAGAAAATCCCCAAAAAGAAAATACTTTCATCATCATTCAACACTTTCACCACACCTCACACATTATCACTGTTTTTGCAGAGGTGCTCGGAATACAACAGTTTAGAAGCATACACATATAAAGATACACAACATATCCCTCCAAACTGCCAATATCCCAAACCCCTCCTTTAAAGTACAGGCATTGTACTTCCCATTTCCAGGACTCAAGTCCGACTATATGAAAATAACCGGTTTCCCTGAATCCCTTCACTAAATATTACCCTGCTCACACTCCAACAGATCGTCAGGTCCCAAGTACCATTCGTCTCCATTCACTCCTATCTAACACGCTCACGCACGCTTGCTGGAAGTCCAAGCCCCTTGCCCACAAAACCTCCTTTACCCACTCTCTCCAACCCTTTCGAGGACGACCCCTACCCCGCCTTCCTTCCCCTATAGATTTATATGCTTTCCATGTCATTCTACTTTGATCCATTCTCTCTAAATGACCAAACCACCTCAACAACCTCTCTTCTGCCCTCTGACTAATACTTTTATTAACTCCACACCTTTCCTAATTTCCACACTCCGAATTTTCTGCATAATATTTACATCACACATTGCCCTTAAACAGGACATCTCCACTGCCTCCAACCATCTCCTCGCTGCTGCATTTACCACCCAAGCTTCACACCCATATAAGAGTGTTGGTACTACTATTCTTTCATACATTCCCTTCTTTGCCTCCATAGATAACGTTTTTTGACTCCACATATACCTCAACGCACCACTCACCTTTTTTCCCTCATTAATTCTATGATTAACCTCATCCTTCATAAATCCATCCGCCGACACGTCAACTCCCAAGTATCTGAAAACATTCACTTCTTCCATACTCCTCCTCCCCAATTTGATATCCAATTTTTCTTTATCTAAATCATTTGATACCCTCATCACCTTACTCTTTTCTATGTTCACTTTCAACTTTCTACCTTTACACACATTCCCAAACTCATCCACTAACATTTGCAATTTTTCTTTAGAATCTCCCATAAGCACAGTATCATCAGCAAAAAGTAACTGTGTCAATTCCCATTTTGAATTTGATTCCCCAAAATTTAATCCCACCCCTCTCCCGAACACTCTAGCATTTACTTCCTTTACAACCCCATCTATAAATATATTAAACAACCACGGTGACATTACACATCCCTGTCTAAGTCCTACTTTTACCGGGAAGTATTCTCCCTCTCTTCTACACACCCTAACCTGAGCCTCACTATCCTCATAAAAACTCTTTACAGCATTTAATAACTTACCACCTATTCCATATACTTGCAACATCTGCCACATTGCTCCTCTATCCACTCTATCATATGCCTTTTCTAAATCCATAAATGCAATAAAAACTTCCCTACCTTTATCTAAATACTGTTCACATATATGCTTCAATGTAAACACTTGATCTACACATCCCCTACCCACTCTGAAACCTCCTTGCTCATCCGCAATCCTACATTCTGTCTTACCTCTAATTCTTTCAATTATAACCCTACCGTACACTTTTCCTGGAATACTCAGTAAACTTATTCCTCTATAATTTTTACAGTCTCTTTTGTCCCCTTTCCCTTTATATAAATGGACTATACATGCTCTCCGCCAATCCCTAGGTACCTTTCCCTCATTCATACATTTATTAAACAAAAGTACCAACCACTCCAACACTATATCCCCCCCTGCTTTTAACATTTCTGTCATGATCCCATCAGTTCCAGCTGCTTGACCCCCTTTCAATTTACGTAATGCCTCACGTACCTCCCCCACACTTACATTCTGCTCTTCTTCACTCCTAAAAGATGGTATAGCTCCCTGACCAGTGCATGAAATTACTGCCTCTGTTTCTTCCTTAACATTTAAAAGTTCCTCAAAATATTCTCGCCATCTACCTAATACCTCCATCTCCCCATCTACTAACTCCCCTACTCTGTTTTTAACTGACAAATCCATACTTTCCCTAGGCTTTCTTAACTTGTTTAACTCACTCCAAAATTTTTTCTTATTTTCATTAAAATTTCTTGACAGTGCCTCTCCCACTCTATCATCTGCTCTCCTTTTGCACTCTCTCACCACTCTCTTCACCTTTCTTTTACTCTCCATATACTCTGCCTAGGGCTGCTCAACTGCCTCCCAGCATACATAAGGGGGATTACCAATAGACCCCTGGCTGTCTTTATGAAGGTACTAGACAGGCACCTAAAGTCAGTACCTGACCAACCGGGCTGTGGTTCGTACATCAGGTTGCACGCGACCAGCAGTAACAGCCTCTTTTATCAAGCCCTGATTCACCATGAGGCCTGGTCTCAGACCGAGCTGCAGGGGTGTTGACCCTCAAAACCCTCTCCAGGTAATAATGTGGTTAGTTTTTTTTAATTAAGGGGATATTCTGCTCCCATCCGTAGGTGTCTTGGAGCTACGTTAGCTCTACTGTCTTACAGTCTTGCTCTAAGTTTAGAGTTTGGCTTTATATCTCGAGAAAAGTTAAGCTCTATCTAATAAGTTGGATGGTTGAGAGGAACGGCGGTCCCATTATTGTAACGTGCCGTGACGGCACTCTACCCATGGAGGTGGGAGCCTAGTCCTGGCCATTAGAGCCCTTTTGGGGCGTGGGCGTGGCATACAAAGAGTACATTACATTTATTCGACGTATATACACACTCCCATATAGGCTGCCTCCCAACCAGCTAACCAGGTGCTAAGGGTTTAACGATTAAGGGGGCCCCATCATTAAATCAGTACCTTTGTTCATCCAATGATAATGTGGGTCAGACAATTGCTAAGGTGATGTGAAACAGTCATGGTGATCTCTGTCACTGACTGTCTTGCTTCTTGATTACCATGATACACTTATTTTCCGACCTTGTACATAGTGTACATAAGTGTATATACCTATAATCATACTTGATGAAGGACAAATATAATTAAAAGACTACTGCTATGTTTATTTCGCTCCAAGACCCTTTACGACCCAGGATAACACGTCTTTCTTACCTGGGTGCGTAATATGTAATTTTTCGTTCTGTTAAGGTTAATTTTCTGATTTAATCATAGAGCAAAGCAATGGAGCATCACTCACCTCACATGCAACTCAAAAGAAAATAAATGAAAATTGCAACATAACACACATTAAAATAAAACACTTACCTCACAAATATATATATATATATATATATATATATATATATATATATATATATATATATATATATATATATATATATATATATATATATATATATATATATATATATATATATATATATGCAATAAGATCACAGTAAACAGGTGATTGTTTTGCATATATATATATATATATATATATATATAAAACTAACATAATTTAAACAAGCTACCTCATTTAACCACTTACCTCACTTACCTCACTTACCTCACAAAACAGAAAAAATATAATTACTTAAAATTTCAGCATAACACAGAGAAAGGAAACCTGCGTGAACTACCAGGCATAGAAAAGAACGAAGAAATAAGCAGAAAACAGAACAAAATATAATAGAGAACAAGGTGGTATTACTAATTTCACATAGAACATTACAGAACACAGTACAGGTATAGGAAACATTACCCACCTCACAAGCAAAGGCCAGCCTCTTCATCTCCCCACCAGAGATACCCTTAATTCGACCTGGGACGCCGATCTTGGTCTCAGCACACTTTGTTAGTCCAAGCTGTGAGTAGGAGAATAAGTTAGCATGTTTGTTTGCGTGTTAGATAACTGTATAGACAATTAGGTAGATCATTATTTATTTAGGTTAGATTATTCTATCTAGGCTGGAATATTGGTGCACATTAACGGCACCTTTCAAGGCAGTTGAAATTGCTGACCTGGAATATGTAGAGAGTTTTAACTGCGATAAAACATTTCAATTACTGGTAACGCTTGAAGTTCCTAAACCTGTACTCCCCAGGACGCAGGCGGGAGAGATGCATGATCATATACACTGGGAAAATCCTAGAGGGATTGGTACCAAACTTGAACACAAAAATCACTCCCTATGAAAGCAAAAGGCTAGGTAGACGGTGCAACATCCCCCAGTGAAAAGCAAGAGCGCCACTAGCACGATAAGAGACAACGCAATAAGTGTCAGGGGCCCAAGACTTTTCAACTGCCTCCCAGCATATGTATATAAGGGGGATTACCAATAGACCCCTGGCTGTCTTCAAGAAGGCAGTGGATGGGTACATAAAGTCAGTACCTGACCAACCGGGCTGTGGTTCGTACGTCGGTTTGTGTGCGGACAAGAGTAACAGCCTGGTTGATTAGGCCCTGATCCACCATGAGGCCTAGTCACAGACCGGGCCGCGGGGACGTTGACCCCTGGAACCCTCCCACTCCAGGTATCAGTTACACGACGGTTATAAAGGCTGCATGTAACATGCACACCTCAGGCCATAAATACTTTAATTCCTAGAAAAATTATAAAAGAAATATTTAGTGTATATACAAGACAAACATTCCAATTTATATAGACCCAGAAATCAACATCTCCCAGTGTATATTCAGCAAGCGGTAAAAACCTATCATTATATTCGTTGAGACAGACCCATTGCCGTATATACTGAATAAGATACACAGGAATATCCGAGTATATACACTTATACACACTTCTCGGTATATGCACTGAGAGATACCCAGTATGACAAAGAGACACGTCTCATTTTATATATACTGAGAAATGCGCAACTCTGTGTTTGTACGTACACTGCAAAATGCACACCTCGATGCACATACATTCGATACACATATTTCTCCTGAAATATGCTGTCAGAGATATGCATCTAGTAGTATACACGCACTGAAATACATACCTCTTAGTGAATATACACAGAGATACGTACCCCTCAGTTTATAAACACTGAGAGATACTTCCCACTCAGTGAATATACACTGAGAGGTACACACCTCTCTGTCAGTGTTATCTTCGGATGGTGAGGTGTGGGCACTATGTAATCCGTAATGCCACACAGCATTCCCACGGGGGAATGACGGTACGCATGCGGGCCTCCGGTGATACGCACAGCTAGGAATATGCACACCCGGGCACTTTACCTGGAGGGTATTCTACCTGGAGGGTATTCCGGGGATCAATGCCCCCTCGGCCCCGTCCACGACCAGGCCTATTACAGTCGTATTACAGGCCTATTGCAGTCGTATTAAAGACATATTACAGTGACGGTAGTAAAGACACAGGGACACTGTATTTCAGTAAAGACCAGAATATTACGTGTCTGATAATAATCACTGAGGTGGATAACTCACTACAACTATATGCTTGAGATACCCACAATAATAGACATATTTGTTTTACATCCTAAAGTTAACACAAGAAATGAGGAACACTGCAGCAGGCCTGTTGGCCCATACTAGGCAGGTCCTTCACAATCCATCCCACTAACAAAATATTTGCCCAACCAAATTTTCAATACGACCCAAGAAATAAGCTAACCTAACTTAACCTAACCTAACATTTAACTTGAATTTTGTCCAGGAGTTTCGATATATTTAAACCCCAATAATTATAGAAGTATATATATGTTAAATCTAAGCAAACTGGTTGCGAATATTCTATATGGTTCCTTGATAATGTGAGAAGTCACGAAAGCGCTTGGAATTTCACTATTGTTTCACAGTGGTTGTTCTGCATATTGTGATATCACCTGTTTACTGTGATTTTTTTTTTTTTTTTTTGCATATACACTGTACTGTATATGCCATCTTTGTATCAACAATGTATCTCTTAAATCTTCTGTACCATATTACATAATAAAATATACCTACTGGTAAAAAAAGCAGCACAGCAGCAGACATGGTGGAGAAGCAGGGAAGAGCAGCACAGCAGCAGACATGGTGGAGAAGCAGGGAATAGCAACACAGCAGCAGACATGGTGGAGAAGCAGGGAAGAGCAACACAGCAGCAGACATGGTGGAGAAGCAGGAAAGAACAACACAGCAGCAGACATGGTGGAGAAGCAGGGAAGAGCAACACAGCAGCAGACATGGTGGAGAAGCAGGGAAGAGCAGCACAGCAGCAGACATGGTGGAGAAGCAGGGAAGAGCAAACACAGCAGCAGACATGGTGGAGAAGCAGGGAAGAGCAACACAGCAGCAGACATGGTGGAGAAGCAGGGAAGAACAACACAGCAGCAGACGTGGTGGAGAAGCAGGGAAGAGCAACACAGCAGCAGACATGGTGGAGAAGCAGGGAAGAACAACACAGCAGCAGACATGGTGGAGAAGCAGGGAAGAGCAACACAGCAGTAGACATGGTGGAGAAGCAGGGAAGAGCAACACAGCAGCAGACATGGTGGAGAAGCAGGGAAGAACAACACAGCAGCAGACGTGGTGGAGAAGCAGGGAAGAGCAACACAGCAGCAGACATGGTGGAGAAGCAGGGAAGAGCAACACAGCAGCAGACATGGTGGAGAAGCAGGGAAGAGCAGCACAGCAGCAGACATGGTGGAGAAGCAGGGGAAAAGCAGCACAGCAGCAGACATGGTGGAGAAGCAGGGAAGAGCAACACAGCAGCAGACATGGTGGAGAAGCAGGGAAGAGCAACACAGCAGCAGACATGGTGGAGAAGCAGGGAAGAGCAACACAGCAGCAGACATGGTGGAGAAGCAGGGAAGAGCAGCACAGCAGCAGACATGGTGGAGAAGCAGGGAAGAGCAACACAGCAGCAGACATGGTGGAGAAGCAGGGAAGAGCAACACAGCAGCAGACATGGTGGAGAAGCAGGGAAGAGCAACACAGCAGTAGACATGGTTGAGAAGCAGGGAAGAGCAACACATCAGCAGACATGGTGGAGAAGCAGGGAAGAGCAACACAGCAGCAGACATGGTGGAGAAGCAGGGAAGAAATAACACAGCAGCAGACATGGTGGCGAAGCAGAAAAGAGCAGCACAGCAGCAGACATGGTGGAGAAGCAGGGAAGAGCAGCACAGCAGCAGACATGGTGGAGAAGCAGGGAAGAGCAACACAGCAGCAGACATGGTGGAGAAGCAGGGAAGAGCAACACAGCAGCAGACATGGTGGAGAAGCAGGAAAGAGCAACACAGCAGCAGACATGGTGGAGAAGCAGAGAAGAGCAGCACAGCAGCAGACATGATGGAGAAGCAGGGAAGAGCAACACAGCAGCAGACATGGTGGAGAAGCAGGGAAGAGCAACACAGCAGCAGACATGGTGGAGAAGCAGGGAAGAGCAACACAGCAGCAGACATGGTGGAGAAGCAGAGAAGAGCAGCACAGCAGCAGACATGGTGGAGAAGCAGGGAAGAGCAACACAGCAGCAGACATGGTGGAGAAGTAGTCTTTGAGCTAGAAACAAATTAGACTAGCTTAGAATTAGCTGCAAGTTCGGGTAACATTAATGAATTTGCCATAACTGAGACATGATTTAATATGAAGAATTAGGATGCGTGCAGCGAATGCCATATTCAAGGTTTTGCTTTGTTCTGCGTTGATAGAAATGACGGGAAGGGACGTGGGGTGACTATGCATGTCGCAGAACATTGACATTGCTGCAGGAAACTCACAGAGTGTATCTGGATAGGAACTCAAAAAGTCATGAAAAATTTATTTTAAGTGAGATACACCGTCCCTCAAACTTGGATAAGCGCTAAGAGAGACTACGTTTGGAGGATATTGTTAAGGTTTCAAGGCATGATGACACAGTAACTCTGGGTGATTTTAACTTTCATCAAATTTATCTGAATTTCATGACTGTGAATCTAGTGCCAATCATCTTCCTAGACGTAATTCAAAACATTTTTTCAAACTTCGACAAAACCAACGATGGAAAATAACTTCCATGATATAGTCCTGGCAAAAAAGGAGAGATTATTCTGGAACTGGACATGAACAATCAGAAATATGTAAGTAAAGATAATTCAATAAGAGTACCAGATTATAGCTTAACAAATTACAATGAATTTAGAGAGAACCTTTCATGGGTGGACTGAGTTAATGAAGAAAACAAAGACAACTTTTATCCCTTACAGAGAAGTAAGATCGAATATAAATTAATGACCTGAAATAGAGGAATAATAGACTCAAACATCAAACAGGACAGAAAAAAGGAATTTAAATGTGTATGAAAAAAGGTGAGGGTCGTCTCAGAAATCAATACATTCACGTTAAATAAAAGTAAAAAAAAATGCTAAAATTCTAAATGAGATTATGAGGTTAAAGTTGCTAAAGATTTGAAAAATAATGCGAGAAGGTTTTTCCAAATATATAGAATTAACGGTAGCAAAAAGTTAAGTCCTCTTAATTAAAATTAACTGAGCAGCTTCCTGACAACAACAAAGAAATCTGCTCCATTTTTTAAATTACATCTTATCGATGTTCACCCAAGAAGATACAAGCGATATCCCAGTAATTATTTTTTATAGTGGGCCTAAAAAAATATTATGTAATATCACAGTCACTTAGGAAATGGTAATAGGTTGATAGATTAAAGCAAAATAAATCCCCGGATTTTTATGAAATTTTTGAAGTATTCTTAAGTAGAACTTATATCTCTTGAAACAGGTGTAGTATATAAGATGTGCAAGATAGGGGATAAATCATTACCGTCAAATTACCGCCCAGTAAACCTGACATCAACTGTAGGAAAATTACTGGAGTCAAATATGGATAATATTATAAGCCATCTAGATAAGCATAATTTGATCTATGATACTCAGTATGGATTCATGAAGTGCTATTCCTGCCTGACTAATTTACTGTCTTTCTTCAGTAAAACATTTGAGGCAGTTGATAACGATAAAGAATTCGACATATTTATTTGGATTTTAGTATAGCTTTTGATAGAATATAACACGAAAAACTTAAAGTGGTAGCTGACTGTATTGGAGAAAAGGTTATGTCATGGATCGAGGCTGACAAACAGAGAGTCTGCGCAAATGTGGTGAAATCTTATTGGGGATCAGCCACAAGTGGTGTTCCACAGGAATCGGTTTTAGGGGCACTGTTGTCCATAATTTACATTAATGACCCTAACGAGGGAATAACAAGCGATATGAGCAAATTCGCTGACACAAAACCAGGAAGAAAAATTAATTTAGACGATGTCACTGAACTTGATAAGAATTTAGACTAGTTAATGTCGTGGTCAGAAAAGTGGCAGATGTAGTTCAGTTTAGATAAATGAAAAATCCTGAAGCTCAGAATGTAAATAATTCCAGCAGTTATAAATTAAATAATATAAAACTTGGCTATACTGAGTGTGAAAAAGACTTGGGAGTTATGATAAACTTGAAACCTAGACATCATTGCCTATGAGTGTGTAATACAGCTAACAGGTCACCTGGATTTGTATCAAGAAGTACAAGCAACAGGAGTCCAGAGGTTATACTACAGATCTGAACATCATTAGTAAGTTGAAAAATGATATAAAATACCGACACGTTGAGATTAAGGCACAGTAGGCTTCTTTAGTCAAATACATAGGGAGCAGCAGAAACAAAATAAACATGATGTAAGCAGTCCATCAACCTTGGAGAAAAAGTATTTGAGGTAGTCAGTCCCTCAGCCTGAAGAAGAGTTGAGCGCCATGATCTGGAACAATATGAAGGAAATGACCTCTCAGTGATTACATTCTTTCTTCTACTAGTATATAAGTCTCCATACTGTCCCTTCAACATTACTGTGGAACACATAGACTTCTCCAAGCTGAGGGACTGACCACCTCAAAATTACGTCTTCAAGGGTGAGGGGCTGATTACATCGTCTTTACATCTCTGCCTCTACCAACTCCTCTATACTCGACTGAAGAAGCCTACTGTGTAGACGAAACGTTTCAGAATACAGAAACCTAACTGTTGTACATGTGTCTTACCAATCTGTCGGTATGTTATTCCATTTTAATATTCATATACGATTTTGAATGTACATGCAGTGAATACATGAAGAGACATTTCTCATTTTAGTATTTATGTTAGACTATGTACGTCTACTGACCTCAATGATAACTTCATCTACACGGGTCATCCTCTGGTCATAGGTCAAATGACGGTCCATCCTCAACATTGCCTGCAAGAAGTTCACATCAAATATTATTTATTAGAGCCATAGTCATCTATATAATATTAATAATAATAATAATAAATTTAGGTCCCACCCTTTAGGTGTCACCAACCATCGTTTTTTGAAAGTTGCACTCCAGGCCAGCAGCTTGACCTCTGGTGGCAGCTCGTCCTCTTAATTACAAGCATCTTGTTGTGAAGATAGTCCAATGGCTGACTGGTGAAGGAGCTTCAAATAGTAAAAAGCTGACTCAGTCAGCGATGCCAACCTTTATCAAACAGGATGGAGGTAACTACTGTCCAGTCTGGTCTGACCACGAAGTTATTAAACCGCCAGGTGGAGAAATTAACCCTCTCCAGGAAAGGGTAGAGCATGTGGAGAGTATGAGTGATGGGACAATTAGCTTAGTAGGAAAGGAGCTGCCAGCTACGTTCTTATGTTCTACCAGCAGCTACTGGAGGATGAGGAAAACCTGAATATTACGAGGTAAGTTAAACAAATGCTACCTCTAAGCTTGTTTCCTGAACTGATGGAATGAGAATTTTCGTTCTTCTTAAGAAATAAGAGTAGAAAGGAGTAAAAAGAGGTGGAAAGATGGCAGGCAGGAGGGGAGCAATTATATTTATATTTATTCTGCATTACAATGTAGAAGGGGATCAGTTACGTTGGCTGCAATAAACGACTTGACTAATGACACCCTGGACAGTGAACCACCCACAGTCACTGTTCTGTCAAGAGTGACCATATCACTACCGCTGCAAAGGATTCTAGCAAAAAAGACACAGGCGGCAGTTTTACCCAATTCTGAATCTTGGTTAGATGAAACAGTGATTGACGATGACGTTAAAATAGAAGGTTACAATATGAAACGCTTGGATAGAAATAGACAAGGTGGTTGACTATGTGCTTATGTGAGAAATTTCTTAACTTACATCCCAAGATCTGAATTGTATGACATTAAGCAGGAGTTCGTCACGGCCACGCTAGCTGGAGATTCGTCTGTAAAACTTGCATTTGTGGTCACAGTGGTGCCTATGCTAACCTTCCTATGGTGTAGAAATATACCTAGTTGGATGAATCTTATTGTGGCTAGCTGGTCTAGTGGCTAACGTGACGGGCTGGAGTTTTGAGACTCTATGACCGCGGGTTCAATCCCGGCCGGGGGTAAGGTTTATTAAGCTGGAGATTCTATGGTTCGAAGTGTAGCTGCCCAAGACCAAACCCGTCCTGATAGGAGCTATAGTTATTATCATCACACCCATGATTGGTTCTTAGAAAAATTATCGAGTTTTCCTCATAACTGAGCACAATTGTGAGGCATTTCTAAAAGACTTAAATATCAACAACAATTATCAACAACAAAATAAAGAGCTATGTAAAAGGTATAGGTAAATTCTAGAATTAAATAATTACTCTCAATTAAATAATGCATCAACCCTGATTACACTGCATGACAGTGTCTTCCACTGCAGACACTGCAAGGCTCCAGGCGGACATCAACCAAATCTTTCAGTGGGCTGCAGAAAACAATATGAAGTTCAACGATGAGAAATTTCAATTACTCAGATATGGTAAACACGAAGAAATTAAATCTTCATCAGAGTACAAAACAAATTCCGGCCACAAAATAGAGCGAAACACCAACGTCAAAGACCTTTGAGAAACTCGTGCACAGGAGACTGTATTCATTTATAACGGCTCAAAACATACTTAACCCCTGCCAATTTGGATTCAGGAAAAATAAAAGCACTAATGATGCAATCATAAAAATGCTAGATCTGCTGTACACAGCATTGGAAAATAAGGAATATCCACTAGGAATTTTTATTGACCTAAGAAAAGCTTTTGACACAGTAGACCACGACATCCTACTCCACAAACTTGATCATTACGGTATAAGAGGCCATGCACTTGCTTATTTCAAATCTTACATAACTAATAGGTATCAGTATGTCACCATTAAAGACACAGCATCAGCAACACGGCCAATTGATACTGGAGTTCCGCAGGGAAGAGTCCTTGGTCCCCTGCTCTTCCTCATATACATCAATGACCTTCCAAACGTATCCCAACACCTGAAACCCATTCTCTTTGCTGACGACACGACTTATGTCATCTCTCATCCTAATCTTGCCACCCTCAACACCATTGTGAATGAGGAGCTGATCAAAATATCGGCTTGGATGACAGCCAATAAACTTACGCTTAACACTGACAAAACCTACTATATTATGTTTGGTAGCAGAGCAGGAGATGCACAAATTAACATTAAGATTGACAACACGCTAATTACCAGAAATAATGGGGGAAAATTCCTAGGCTTATACCTTGACAACAACCTGAATTTCAGCACCCATATCCAGCATATAACCAAAAAGTATCCAAAACGGTTGGGATCCTCTCCAAGATTTCGATACTACGTGCCGCAAAATGCCCTTCTCACACTATACCACTCACTTATTTATCCATACCTCACCTATGCTATTTGTGCTTGGGGATCAACTGCAGCAACACACCTAAAGCCAATAATAACCCCAAAAAAAAGCTGCAGTAAGAATAATCACTAAATCCCATCCCTGGCAACACACCCCCCCCACTCTTCATAGACCTAAACTTACTCCCTGTTCAGTACATCCACACTTACTACTGTGCAATCTACATCTACAGGGCCTTAAACTCTAATATCAACCTTGACCTAAAACGCTTTCTTGATAGTTGTGACAGAACCCACAGGCATAACACCAGACACAAACATCTCTACGACATTCCCCGTGTCCGACTAAACCTTTACAAAAATTCAATGTATGTCAAAGGTCCTAAAATCTGGAATACCCTACCTGGGAACTCTAGAACTGCAGACACATTCATCACCTTCAAAACTACCATTAGAAAACATCTTATCTCCCTGATACACCCGTCAACTAACTACACGAATACCACCTGGTGGTTCACACTTACACTCACTCACTCATTTGACCATAAACAGAAATATTAATCTCAATCTTAACATAATGAATCCTGTGATACTCCAATACTGAAACTATGTACTGTGCCAAAACAAAAGCATTCACATTGCTAAACTCACAAACTAGTATTTAGTCACTTAGCCATAATACCAACTTACCTCATAATTTGTAATATTTTACAATTAAGAATAAAACTAAGTCTGCCCGAAATGCCTAGCCATGCTAAGCGTTCTAGTGGTACACTCTGTAATCACTATTTTACAACATGTAAACCACACAATAACCAAATTTCTGTAAAATCAACATTGTAATCCTTATAGAGAATAAACTTTGAATTTGAATTTGAATTTGAATTTGAATCATGTCAGAGGATCTCACTTTCAAGGACCATAACATTGTATCAATCGCATCTGCTAAAAAAATGACAGGATGGATAATGAGAACCTTCAAAACTAGGGAGGCAAATCCCATGATGACACTCTTCAGGTCACTTGTTCTATCTAGACTGGAATAATGCTGCACACTAACAGCACCTTTCAAGGCAGGTGAAATTGCTGACCTAGAAAATGTACAGAGAACCTTCACGGCGCGCATAACGGAGATAAAACACCTCAATTACTGGGAGCGCTTGAGGTTCCTGAACCTGTATTCCCTGGAACGCAGGTGGGAGAGATACATGATTATATACACCTGGAAAATCCTAGAGGGACTAGTACCGAACTTGCACACGAAAATCACTCACTACGAAAGCAAAAGACTTGGCAGACGATGCAACATCCCCCAATGAAAAGCAGGGGTGTCACTAGCACGTTAAGAGACCATACAATAAGTGTCAGGGGCCCGAGACTGTTCAACTGCCTCCCAGCATACATAAGGGGGATTACCAACAGACCCCTGGCAGTCTTCAAGCTGGCACTGGACAAGCACCTAAAGTCGGTTCCTGACCAGCCGGGCTGTGGCGCGTACGTTGGTTTGCGTGCAGCCAGCAGTAACAGCCTGGTTGATCAGGCTCTGATCCACCAGGAGGCCTGATCACAGACCGAGCCGCGGGGGCGTTGACCCCCGGAACTCTCTCCAGGTAAACTCCAGGTAAACACAGTTCTTAGCTACCAAACTAGACAACATACTTTGTAACTGCTTTGAAAATATTAGTCAGGAGCCATTATCACCACTTGTTGCACCAGGAACATTATTAAAGAAGGGGATAGGCATGCACTGGGCAATACAAATTAGGTCAACTAGAAGCTACAATGAAGAAACAGTGACTGAACTGAGATAAAATGATGCAGGGACGTAAATGATGCCTGAGAAATATTCAGAACAATATTCACTGTCATCCTCGATAATACTGCACCAGTTACAGAAGTCAGATTAAATGAAGAACCAAACCCTGGATAACTGTGCAGATATTAGATATCAAATTCAGGGATCAGGATTGGATTCAAAGATTCAAATTCAGGATTCGCTCTGTAGACTTTGCCCTGTATGGTCGCAGACGCTCCTGCTCTTCTCAACCAGTCTCCCTTCGATCCCCACTGGGGAGGGGAGCCTCTGCCATCTCCACGATATCTCATCGTGTGAGGATCAAACCCAAGACTGCTGTCATCAACGATGCCACGAAGCTTGAATTTGCATCCTCTCTCAAATCTAGTCTGAGAGTTAAGTTCTCGAACAATACTTCTCTGAAAAAAGCTTTCCTCGTCACCTTTCTTGATGATGAAGAAGCAGACAAGGTACTCACACCTGCTGCACTGAAGATCTTTGACGACCGTGGCTTTACCATCTCCACCTCACCTTACATGCTAGCTAAACGGTCAGTGTTCATGAAACGCCTTGAAAAGCTCATCACGAACATGTCTCCTGACGACATTAAGTCATCAGTTGAAGACCTTAACACCTGGGCCAAGACTGACTCTGTTGTGAAGATCCCCAACGCTTCCTCGATGCTCAAGGTCACGTTTGTGGACGTCACCATGGCGACCAGAGCACTGTCTGATGGCCTAGCCATCTCCTACTACTTTATCAACCCTCGTCAAATTG